AAAAAAAAGATTATCCATGTTACGAATGAATCCCAGATTGCTCATAATAATATACCATCAAAAATATATCAACCAGAAATTGATCAAACATGGTCACCTCCTCCTAAACTTAAAAGTCACAAGAAAACAACAAAAACTCCTGTATATTTTCAAAAAAATGTAATTAAAGATCAGAATGATGATGATAATAAAAGTTCAAAAATTACTAGAAATATAAAAAATATAATTCCAACATTTTCTAAGAATACAGGTACAACACAAAAAAAATTAATTGAAAAAAAACCTCTAATACGGGATGTTACCAAACCAGAAGATTTATATAAAGGCAATCAATCAATTTATAATAGTATAATATTTGATATTCCAACACCTAATCTAGAAAATAATGATACTTCATTTATACAAAATGAAAATGAACATAATGTGTCATTAACAGAAGAAATTTGTCACAATGAAAAACTTCAAGTTGAAAATGATGTGACTTGTAATGAAAAAATATCTGACATGAATTTGAGTGCTAAGTTTATTGATACTCCAAATATTGATCATGAAAAAAATGTTGAATTAAAGTTGCCTAATAAATTGAATGAAGATATAAATCAAAATATTGATAATTCAGTAGAGTTTCAAGAACTGTTATTTAATCAATGCTTGTCAAGGAAAAAATGTTCTTCAGAATCAACTCAAACCGATGATTTTAACAATTTGTCATCATTATTTTCTTCAAAAAGACCTCCACCTCCTATGAATTTTATTTCTGTATTAAAGTGTAAGTATCGCTTACTAGAAATAGAAAATGATAATTTGGAATTTTCTAAATCTATTGCTGATTTAAGAGTGAAAGAATGTACTATTTCAAATAGTTTTAACAATAAAAATTATATCAATAAATCTGTTGAGGGTAATATTCAAGAAGAATTAGATGACACAAGACATTTATCAAATTTTAATTGTAATGAGCGAAAACATTTAAATGATGATGAATCTTCATTAACCAATGAGATTATTAAATCAGATCAGAATGGTATATCTATGAATCATGTTACTGAAGAAAATATCAGTAATAAAAAATTACAAATAGAAAATAATGATAAATTAAATATTACATACAATGAAGGTAGTCAACATGTTTTGAAAAAATTGAATTGTGACTTAGAATGCTTGACAAAAATTAGTTCTTATAACAATGACAACTCACATAATGTATCTATATCTAAAGATTTTAAAAAATGTGAAGCTAATGCTATAAATAAAACATGGCCTTACGTAAGTAAAATTAATAAATTAAAAAATTTTATAATGTAACTGTCATTTAATATTTCTGTTTTAGTTTTCTGAAATTCATGATGAATTTAAAGCAGAACTTAATCTTCTTGAACAATTAAATGATTCTTTATGTGATATAGAAAAAATGAGTTCCAACAAATCAATTCAAAATAATGTGATTATAATTTATTTAAATGTTTGCAGTATATATTTTTACTTTAAAAAAATACTATTTTAATACAAATTGGTGTATTACTTTTTAGGAACAGACTAATGCTCATTATCCCATTAATGATTTCAATTTTGAAACTAGTTTTAATGGTTTACTTCACAATAACAATAAACCAACACAGTTTTCAAAAATCAATGATTTATCTTCAAATATGATGTCTGTAGATAAAACAATAACTAGTTTCTCTATACAAATGGTAATCATATTTACATATATTTTTATTCTTTGTATAGATTAATAGATGTTTCGGTTAATAATGTTGATTTTAATAAGAAATTAATGAGTGACTAATATACTTATGTTTAAATTATATATTATACTATGTTATACTAATTATTTATAAAACATTCTATGATCATGGGTACTATTCACCATTTCAGCAGCCTTGATTTAATTAAGATTATTTATTTCTTCTTCTTCTTCTTCTTTTGGCCTATCTACTCTCTAAGAATTTTTGCCACCATTACTACATTTCACCACCTATTTCTATCTTATATTATTTCTCTCCAATCATCAACTTGTTTTTAGGTCTTCTTCCACCACGTCGATCCATCTTTTCGTACGTCTTCCTCTAATTCTTTTCCCATGTGGTTTCCATTCCAATGCAAATCTAACTGCTTCGTTTTCCCCTCTTCATATTATATGACCTATTCATTGTATTCGTTGGCCCTTAATAAAGCTTGTTACGGGTGCTAGTTCTAATAAATCATACAATTCTTTGTTATATCTCCTCCGCCAGTTCCCCGTGATTTCATTAATGGTAGGTCCACATATTTTCCTCCAAACTCTATTCTCAAACATCCTTAAGTTTCTCTCTGTATGTTTTGTCGTCGTCCAGACTTCGCAGCCATATGTGAAAATCGATCTTATAATAACCACATACAGTCTTACTTTTGTTTTTCTAGACATCATTTTGGATGTTAAGAATTTTGTCAGTGCGTAACTGGCTTTTTAGGTTTTATCTCTGATTAAATATACATATATAATATATAATATATGTATATTTAATCAATGGTTTTATTTATTCGAATACTTATTTCCTTTCCCCAGTCATTTTTTGTGCTTAAAGTTGCTCTTAGATATTTAAAATCACTAACTTTTTCATAGATCAAGTCCTCCATCTCGTAGGGGTTTTCCCCACTCTCAATGAGTTCCATTATCTTTGTTTTTTTGGTATTTATTTCAAGGCCTATCTTCTTTGCTGCTTCTTATAACACTGGCTGCGTTAGCTGTGTCGCAAGCGAATCACCTATTATGTCCAAATCGTCCGCGAAACCTAAAAGCCGTATATTTTTTTGAACGATTAATACGCCATCTTCATTGTCCTGTAGTATCCTTACTACCTTCTCTAGTGCAAAGTTGAAAAGTACTGGGGATAAGGCATCCCCCTACTACAGTCCGGTTTGCACTGTAAAAGTTTCCGATGTTACATTCTATGCTATTACTCTGTATTTCGTATTTTCCATACACATTTTAGTTAGTGCTATTAATTTTCTCGGGAAACCGAATTCATACATAATATGGTAGAGACTATTTCTGTGAATACTATCGTAGGCCTTTTTAAAATCTATGAATAGTTGCCACATATTTTGCCTGTATTCGTATCTCTTCTTAATTATTTGACCTATTATAGATAATTGTTCTGTGGTTGACTGTCCTTTCCGGAAGCCGCATTGGTAGTCACCTATGTAACTCTCTGCATAGGGAACAATACGATTTAGTAGCACTCTCGCGAATATTTTATATGCGGAGTACAAGAGCGATATCCCCCTATAATTGTCGCACTTTGTCTTGTCTCCTTTTTTGTGTAAAATCATAATGATTGCATCATTCCAACTATCCGATATTTGTTCTACTACTTATATTTACTGACACAATCTGTAGATTTTTACGTACAGCTCCTCGCCTCCGTATTATATAAGTTCTGCTGGAATATCGTTGATACCCGGTGCTTTCCAATTTTTCAGACCAAATATTGAGATTTTTACATTTTCTAGACTTAACATCCTCGTGTGGCTCCGCTCTTTCATATTCGGTATACAGTACTGGCTGATCTGGCATCATACCATTTATTAATTTTTCAAAATATCCTTTCCATCTCTCAACTATTGACTCTGGCTCCATTAAAGTTTGTCCGGTTTGGTCTCTAATAGCATTCCATTTTGGATTGAATTGCTTAAACTGTTTAATGACTCTAAAAAAGTTTCTAGTTCTACACTGTGTATGGTCATTATCTGCAGTTTGTAGTAAATGATTAAAGATTTTTTTTATTTCATAAAATTTTTATATTCAAATTTTCTTTTTTCCCTTTGAAGGATGCTTTTGCAATTTTTCCGTTCCCGTAAGAAAACTTCTTTAGTCATTTGGTCATTGTTCTTAATAAAGTCCTCTCTTGCCTTGCTACGTTTATCTACAGCAATTCTACAAACATCATTATACCTAGTGTTTCTTGATCTTTTATGTTCGTCAATGCTTTAAGTTGATGATTTTTTAACAGCATTGCTCACTTTCTTCCAAACCATTTCGACGTCCATTCATGCGTTATTTTTTTTAAGATTCGTTGTGAATTCATTCTCTTACTTTTTCCTCATAGTTTCATCTTTTAGTCACTCTAGATTTATTATAGTTCTTTTTTCTTGTTTTAATTTCGCTTGGCTTTTTAACTTTGATCTGAGTTTGGCGATCACTAAATAGTGGTCGGTATCACAATCTGTGCCTCTATGATATCGTAAATGGTACTACGGTATCTAGTCTGTATGAGGACATGATCAATTTAGGGTCTTACCTTCCGGTGACCTCCACGTGGCTTTATGAATATCTTTGTGTAGGAAAGTAATGCTACTGACAGTCAATCCATTTGATGTTGCAAAAGATATTATTCGCTGGCCATTATTGTCACTGTGATTATGCAAACTTTCCTTTCTTATGCAAGGGAAATACTGCTGTTCCCGTCCACACTTTGCATTAAAGTCACCCAATAAAATCTTTATTACGTTTCTCGTGATATTCTCATATATAGATTATTTATTTAGTTTCATAAAAAAAAATATTGTAGATTATCTAAATGTTTTGTTTAAAGCTTTATTTAAAAATCATGTTACAATACAAAATTAATTCTTATATACTACAATATATTATTTTATAATTTTTTAGTTTGAACAATTGATTAAGGATGAAGAACTCAGGGCAAAACAACATCATACTATACTTAATTTAAAGGAAAAGTCATTAACTAATCGATTAACATGGGAAGGTACAATGTATGATTTACAAATGAGGTAATATGTTATAACTAATTATAATTTCAAATATTTTTTAGCTTAGTTATATATTTAATTTAAATTTTAATAATTTATATTTTATATATTTTCAGGAATTTAAAAAACCAGTCAGGTTATGAAAAACAGTTACAGTTGTTAAAACAAAAACAAAGAGGTAGTATTAAAAAGCTAGAAAACTCATTATCTCAAATAAAGCGACTTCGGAGAGTAATTGATTCTGTATACAAGCAACGACTTATTATTCTTGAAGAACAGTTACAGCATTTAAAAATGCAATCATCCTCTAAAAAAGTCATACGTAAATTAAAAAGTTTAGATCAAATTTCCAAAGTAATATTATTTAATATAATATAAGATATATTTATTTAAAAATAATAACTATATATTTTAGAAAGAAGAATTTACTAACCAACCACTTAATTCTAATATTTCTAAACGATGTAATAAGACTGACTTTTATAATGCTATTGAAAATGAAGATAATAATGTAAATCTTATTGAATTTAATAGTGAATCATCAAATAATACATCGTCACCTGCTATAGTTGAAGATAAATCTAAAATTGTTTTTAAAAGTAAGTAATTTAAATCATTTGAACTTTTTTATAATTTATCATAGATTTTAATGTTCTTAGAAAATGAAAATCTACAAAAAACTATTAGGTAACTTTTTAGGGATAATACTTGTGACAAAAAAATTAATTCTGGCAATCTCAATTTGTATGCCTTATAAAATATTTTTACTAATATGTATGCTGATAAGTTTTTTAAATATATTCTATATACATAATTTTTTTTTTTAACTTATGTACATTTCCAAAATATTACTATTGAAATATAATTGAATAGTTAAAAGTTAATAGTTTCTGAGTATTATATTAAAATGTATAGTAAACTATACTTTTATAATTAAGAAGTTAAATATAAATTAATATTATTTATGTTTATAGACCAAGCTATCTCTCCTATTAATATTGGAAAAACTATTTTCAAGCCAACTGAAATTGCTAATGATCAAACCGAACTTAAGTGGATCCTTCCACCACAGCCTGTAATCAATAAGTCAATAGAAACTTCTTCAACAGTGTAAGTATAATTTTCTTTTTAACTAAATTAACATGAGGCTTTTGAGTGTTAGTCACAATAATTTGTGCAGATGTGGAATACAATTTGTTTTTAGATTTTTTAGCTTTTTAGCATATTTAAAGGTATATACATATTGTAGCAAAATAATTCAATTGAAAAATAAGTGTGATTTATGGAAAGATAATATTTGAGACTATAAAAAATGAGGAGTTAAGAAAAGAAGAAGTATTGTGACAATTATTCAAAGAGTTAAGAGAATTATTAATTTGGAAAGAGATATTTTATGAAAGTAAAATAGACAACAATCAGAAAGAAATATTTAACAACATGAATCAGTTTTTAGGTGTTATTTATATTATATATTTTGCTCAAAATCTAATATAATTATTAACTGATAATTATACGTTTAGTTGCAATCACATAAGTCTTAAGAATTCAAATTCAACCGATTTGATTCATCAAAATGAATTATTTTACGTAAATAAAATCATGGATGAACCATTATTACCTCAAAATTCTTCCATAAGTCTTGTTAATCCAAAGGGATATATCTCAGAAACATCAAATAGTAAATAATTTGATCTTTAATCTTCAATCTGAAAATAAACTCTCACTTAATTATTAATTTATTTATTTTTAAGGTACAAATTCAGAACAGAGTGATATTGATGTACGAATAACAGAATTAGAAGAAAAACTTGAAACTCGAAAATCAGAATTTTCTAAAATTAAAAATAAACAAAAAAAGTTAAGAACTGAGTATCTTAAAGCTAAAGAGCAAGAACTATTGAAACAGATAGAGCTATATGATAATAAAATTGAAAAATCAAAAAAAAATTTACTAGCTGAAGTAGAGAAAAAAAATATTCAACTAACTAAGTCTTCAATGAAACATGATTCTTCTTCTAAACAGTCTAAATTTTCTATTTTTGAAAAGGTGAATTATGATTATGATCGCGCAACTGAAAAACATGGTCAAAATTTGCCTATGTCAGATAAAATAACATGGACAGATGGAAAAGAATTTTTTTATCCAAAAATAACTAACCAAACAAGTAATAATGAATTAAAAACTCTTAAATCAGCTTACGAGTTACCACAACAAAATGCATTTACACCAATAAAACATTTAAGTTTGTTTTCAAATAATAGTAACTCGATCATAGTTGATTATAGTAAACTTAGAAAACAATTATTTCAATACTTGGAGACAAATAAAGTTTGTGAAACTGTACCATTACAAAATGATTCAACTATATTAGAAGTCAATAGTTTTAAAGAGTCTCAATACATTCAATCTAATTCTCAATCCGTAGAAATTTCAAGTCACCCAACAAAAAATCATGAAGTAAATTTACAAGAAGATAATTTTTCTTGTAATATTAATGATGTTCATATAAACCCAGAAGGTCGTTTATGTGAGTATTCTATTCCTCATGTAGAAATGCTAAATAAAAAAAATAATCAAGATTCACATATTGAAAATAATACAAATGTTCTGAATATTACAACATCTTGTAGCAGTATAAATAATGATTCTTCAACAAGTTCATCAACTAGTAGTAATATTCAAAGAACACCTAATGAAAATGATAATAATTTATTTGAGGAAAAAGAAGATAATGTTAGTCGATATAATATATTAAATATTGAAACTGATGATTATAGTACAGATTTTACTTCAGATGAAAATACACCTGAGTTTCTAAGATTGAATGAAATAAATAAGCATAATAGTATAATTGAATCACAAATGACAGAAGAAAATGAATCTTCTTATGAAGAAGAAAGAAGTGAAGGAGATATTATGTTTGAAGATAAGACATTTATTGAAAAATATTCGGGCTGTAGTGATGTAGTAAATATAAATAATAATAATAATAATAAAAATATATTATGTAAAAAACAAATAGAGTAATTAAATGTATTATATTTTAGGTTCAAAATGAAAAACATACTGAAAATGAAGTTGATAATATAACAAATAATATTTTTTATGGTCTTCTTAAAGATATTAAAATACTAGTAGAATTCAACAATAATAAGGCACTATTAACTCGTTCAGAAAAAAGTGATCTTAATAATTTGACTGGAGAAACTCCATTATTAATGATACTAAAACGCGAAGAAGAACTTAAAAATATGATTCTTTTGTCAGAACAAGCAACTAGCATTTCAAAAGCACTTTTAAAACGTCATTTACAACCAATTATATCCGAAGCATTTATATATTTGTTACCTAGATTAAATGAAATGGAACAGGAAAAATTAAAAGTTTATTTGAACTGGTCATGTTCTAAAAGAAAAAAATTGAAATTATCTAAATATTTCAAGTCTCGTAAGTGAATAGTTAATGTTTTTCATTAAATTCATTAAATTTTAAAGTGTTAATTTTTTGTTTATTCAATTGTTAAATTTTAATATATACATATTTTACTGCATATTTTTAAATTGCTTGTGTTGTTATATTGCATGATTATTTAATTTTGTTTATAAGACTTATGTTTTATTTTCAAAATATTAAATATACATTTATATATATATATATATGTTATGGGATTAATTGGTCCAATATTCAAATTTTAAAAATAATTGAATTAAAATATTTTAAACAATCACTTTGTTTTTAAAGAAATTTTGATTCATTGGTAAAAGCATTTTTTCAAGTATAATAATATATTCTAATTTATATAAAGCAATCTAAATGTGTTTGAGAATAATATATAGGGTAAATACAAAGATATTTTGATCGCTTCAGAAGAAATTTTTTTTAAATTTAGATTAAAATGTACACAAAAAAAAACATTTCAATCTCGGTCACTGATCAAAATTTCTTAAAAATCAGGAATCGTCTTACATTTAGATTTTATTCATACCGCTTCCTCTAATTATTTCGGCTTTATTTACTGCTGAATTGTTTTAACAACTTAGTTTTTGAACATTATTTTTGATTTATTTATTTTATAACTAGTTTTATAGACAATAATATATATTTTAACTATTTTTAAATTATTTAATATGTTGCATAAATCAATTTATAAATAATGCAAGATATATATTTATTGTCTTTATTTTAGAACACAAAACTGATGATGTTGAAAATGATGAATCATTTGAAATATTTTATCTGAAGTATCACGAGCAGGTAATTGTATTCATTTTAAATACATTATTTGTTTATAACTTCATGTGTATAAGAGTAAATAATTATTGATTTAAATTTTTTATAGAAATCTTTGAGTTTTCATAATGAAAATAGTGATGTTATGCTATGTCAAACTCAAAAAGAAGCAGAAAAACTAAAGTTAGAGCAAATACGCATAGAAGAAGAAGTATGTAGTTATATTATTTGAGTGGAAAGTTATGTTTAATAATATACATTTTTTATTTATTTTAGATTGAACGACTTCGCATGACTGAAGATGTACAGATTTTTCTCAGAGAAATACCTAACAAACCACCTCCACCTTATAAGAGTCCTACAAAAATAAAATCACTTATTGATATGCCTTATACATCTGATGAAATGCATAAAATAGTCTTAATGGCTACTAATCAATTATTCAAGGATTCTCAAAGTTCAATGTCAACAAATTATATTATAAATTTTGAGTCAAGTTTGCATGCTGACTATAAAAAATTGATATTTGATTATTGTAAAGAAATAATTCAAGATACATTTATCAATGAAAAAAATGCACCTATTTGGGAAAGATCTGTAAAAACTTTGAAACAATTTCGAGCCAGACCAAAAAATCCTATTGATTTAAGTGATGTTGTTTTGAAAAAAATGGAACAAATTATTGAGATAGATGAATGCGAAGAGAAGGTAAATAAATTTGTAATAAAACAAATGCATGAAGAGGATAGTAAATGGACTGATTTTGAGATGGATGAAATGGTTATACAAAACAATATTGTTCAAAATATAATGAAAAAATTGATTAGTGATACAATAATAAATATTAAAACAAATTTTTATTTGAAATTTATCTAATCAAAGTTGACTTTCTTGATTAATAACTGAAGTATCAACTATATTTTTTATTTTTATATTTTTAAACTCTAAATATTTTGTTATATATTTTTTTATACATACAATTATATATCAAATGATATTGATAGTAAATTTGTTTTGTTTTAATTTTACAATTTATACACTGAATTTTAAAATGAATTCTTTCATCACAGAGTTATGTTTTAAATTGAAACTAATCCAAAAATAATTTTTGTTACTATAAGATTGTAATATCTTTAAGATTATTATCTCAGATTATTAATATAAGTGAATATAAAAACTAGACTAGTACTTTTAATTCAAATGGTTTAATTTAATTTGTGATTTTATCTAAAATTCGAATATTTTAGAAGATTGCAAGGTGCAACCTTAAAGAGAATGTTAATGTTCCATAAAAAAAAAAATCAAATATTTCAAGAATTTGGAATAGCTAAAAAGTACTTAAAACGAAATTAAATTTCAATATATATGGATTACAACATTTGTGTGCCGAATCGAGTTTTGTGTTAAATTATTAAAGATGAGTTGTTCGTGAGTGATTAGATTCAAAGAGTCCGCTATTTTAGATGAAATAACTAAATGAATTGAATCAGAATGCTATAATTCAATGATTCGATAAGACAATGTTAAACACAGATATATATATAGACATATTTATTTTTCAGTGGTGTTACCATAAGATATTTTATGGTGTTACCTCCTATAATAGTTCTTATCAGTTTCATAAGCTTATAATTAATTAATGTTATAATTTAGTCAGCTCATAACTCGCGAGTTGTGTCAATTGAACTCATTGAACCATAGATCTATAAATTTAAGTTAATCGATCTATGGAATAAACTATGTAGTTTACTGGATTGGTGATTTATTATTATCTGGGAGTCTATTTTTGAATTTTACATTAGCACACTAATCATATAAGTACATTAAAACATTGCGGTTTAGTTAAACTATTAACGCAAAAAAAAATACTGTATTTTTGAACGATGGAACACTAACATTTTTTTACTAGTGTACTAATGTTTCAGATAAATTATAGTGGGTATCTATCACACTAATCATGTTGTAGCTTATAAACATTATTGTATTATATATTCGTTAAATGAAAACAATAAAACATATGCGTACTATTTATACGTAAAATTGTATTTATTTTAATATGTTTATTTTTATAATTATCAGTTCAATAAATTATAAAAAATAATTAATATTTTAATAATATGGAATATTTGGTTAACTTAAATTACCTCTAAGTTATTAACAATTTAGAAATTGTCGAATTTTTGATTTTTACACTCTTTATAGTAGATTACGAGCTTACGATGTTATTTGAAAAATTTTCATATATAGCAGACAACGTTCAACTAAGCTTCATTTTTTTTTATTTCTATCTTTATAAGATTCATCAGACGTGTCCCACAATATTGGTCATTTTCCAGCTTCCGATATTAATTGCTCATTAGTCTTCATATTGAACAATTTTAAGTGTAAAAAATTTAATTTTAAATGAATAATCACCTTCTACAAGTGAATATCATGAACTAAAATACTGAAAAATGTACAAGAACGGACGTCATAGAACTTTTGTCTGTCTGTCAATTGAATCTAATAATAATCTACAACGCTGATAATCAAATAGTAACGGACGTTATGTATTTCTTGTCATCAACGTCGAACGGACAATAAAATCCAACGAACGTCATATGTATGGCTGATTGGTATAATTAAAATACATTTCAACAACGGACATCATGACGTCCGTCGTAACCATAATTTAGTATATATAATAGATAGGCGACTCCTGGGTTAAATATTGAGACTGCGAATAGCGCTCCCGGTAACCGTCGTAACATCCATTAATAAAACGCTCGTGTGGCCTTACACTAACAATTTTAAAATCAAACGCTGATAACGTTTTATTTAATAATTGTAAGTGTTGCTACACTGACATTTAAGGTTGTGTACGAACCAGATGGTATAAACGAAACTTGCAGAGACCTAGGCACATTGCGCATGCGTCGAAGTCACATGTTTAAATGTTTGTTATTCGTGTTCGATAAAGCGTCCGGCTTCCAACTACCACCGCGTTAGTTTGAACTCGAAGTCACGTGTTTTTTTTTTATATTGTTAATTTTGTTCTTGTGAGTTTCCTGAATTTTTCCTCAACGACACTTCATCTCTTTTATTTTCAATTATAATGGGTAAGTACAATTTTTTATCTTATGTTCAATTTTCATAAGTTACACGGATACTACATCTGTTTCTACGTGTAGTGTTCACGTTATATGCCAATAATTAATTATTTGTTTTATTTGATTCTTAAGGTTTTGATCGAGGCGGACGAGGTGGTGGTGGACGAGGACGAGGTGGTTTCGGTGGCAGAGGAGGCGGTGGTAGAGGAGGTGGTGGTGGCTTTGGTGGTGGTAGAGGAGGCGGCGGCGGATTCAGAGGCCGAGGTGGCGGTGGCCGTGGTGGTGGTGGTGGTTTTAGAGGACGAGGTGGTGGAGGCAGGCCATCAGGAGGACCTGGAGGTTTCAAAGGGGGTAAAAAAGTTATTATTGAACCTCATCGTCATGCCGGAGTCTTTATTGCTCGAGGTAAAGAAGATGCTCTTGTTACCAAAAATTTGATTCCTGGCGAAACCATTTATGGAGAAAAAAGAATTAGTGTTGATCAAGTAAATTTTATTTAGTAAAATAGGTAATGTTAAAAACTTTATTGAACCTTTTTTTTTCAGACTGAGGGAGACAAAATTGAATACCGTGTATGGAATCCATTCAGGTCTAAATTGGCCGCTGCCATATTAGGTGGTATTGATGAAATTCATATGCCACCCGGATCTAAAGTTTTATACTTGGGTGCTGCTAGTGGAACTACTGTATCTCATGTATCTGATGTTGTAGGCCCTGTAAGTCTTAAAATTATCTAGTTAAATTATATGTTGCATATTTTAAATTAAGTGTCTATTATTAGGAAGGGCTTGTATATGCAGTTGAATTCTCACATAGGTCTGGACGTGATTTAATTAATGTTGCCAAGAAGAGAACTAATATTATACCAATTATTGAAGATGCACGGCATCCTCACAAATACAGAATGTTAATTGGAATGGTAGATACAATTTTTGCTGATGTAGCTCAACCTGATCAAGCTAGAATAGTTTCAATTAATGCACAGTATTTTCTTAAGAACGAAGGTCACTTTGTTATATCAATTAAAGTAAGTTTTTTTTTTAGTAATGTAGCTATATTATTTTTATATACTATCATGAGTTAAGTACTTATTATTTTTGTAGGCAAATTGTATTGATAGTACAGCTGAACCAGCGGCTGTATTTGCACAAGAAATTGAAAAATTAAAAAATGATAAACTGAAACCAACTGAACAGCTTACACTAGAGCCTTATGAAAGAGATCATGCAGTTGTAGTAGGTGTATTTAGACCTGTTCCAAAGGCTAAGTAGTATATCTTATATATATCCATTTTTAATACATTAACATTTTTTTTGTACAAATATTCAATACATTTGCAAGTACTTTAATGATATAAGTATTCATGCATTAAATAATAAAAGATTGGATATTTATTTTTTATATATTTTATTTTATATGATTTTTGCCTATGTTTTAATCCTAATAAAATAATTTAATTATAAGTTGGTATTGATAATTAATTTCTATGATATTATTTAAATGCCTATTTATTTGTAATAATCACTTCTTATATTGCTGGGTCCATGTACGAGGGCTATCCAGAAAGTAACAGATGTAATAGTCTGGCGCAGTAGTGGGCGAGATAGTGCTGTCGTTTCTGTGTTATTTGTTCCTACACTCAGTATGTTATCAGTCGTAGCTTGTTTATAATACATAGTTTAAAATTGAGAGTTAAAATGAGCGCTGTAATTGAAAATGCCGTCAGTTGTGAAATAAGAGCACTGATAAGGTTTTAGTTGGCAAAAAATCTTATACCAATTAAAATTCATCAACAGATCTGTGATGTATACAGCTTAAGAATAATTAGTGAAAGCCGAGTGAGGCAGTGGTTTATTGATTTTAAGTATGACTGAACCAATGCTCACAATGAGGATCATTGTGGTACATCTAGTTTCGTGTGTGATAAATTGGTGACACAAATCAACAAAAAAATCTGGGAAAATCGTTTCACAATTATGAAACTTTCAGAACAGAACATAATATTCCCAATTATGAAAATGTGGCTTGCTATCCAACGCTCTGATACTGATGCTGAACTATATTGGTGTTAACCAGTGGTTAAATTTACAGGTGATAGATTTCTATTGATAAGATACTAAAAAGCTTATACCATGTTTATAATAAATGGTGATTATTTTGGAAAATAGGCCTAGTCTATCTCTAATATGTATATATAATGAAAATTGTTTTTTTCATTTTGTTTTTTTTTTATTTCAAAATGTCTTACGTTCTGGATAGCTCTCGTATTTCCATGTATGAAAAATTATATCATGGTGACTGTGTAACTGATTTTACCTGATTTTTGTAGAAATCTAAAATACAATTATAGTAGAAACACAATAGATGTTTAGATGATAGACTATATTCTGTTATAAAACCTCATTATCTGTGGTAATGGTGAGGAGGAGTCTTACAGATAAATAAAACCCGTGTTAATTGACATTTTTTTTAACATATTTTAATTATATTTTTTTAGTATTACACTTAATTTAACCTATGCTGTATAAATATATATTGTAATGTTTTAAAATGATCAAGGCTTCAATTGGAAGTAATCAGTCTTTGTTTTTGTGGTTTGAAATTATTTTTCTTCGTAGACTTGGTTCAAAATATCTTATTCATACTGCATTAAAAATAGACACTTTATTTTTTTTTCATGTTATATACCTTAATTTTGTCTTTAAAAATTTTAGTTATGAGAATATATGTTCATGTGTTATTTGTGTAAGTGACTGAGTAAGTAGATATTTCTAAATATGTGGTGATATTTTATATCGGATAAACTCTAAAATAACATTTCAAGTTATAAAATGAAAAAATTATATTTATTGATAACAATTATAATATTTTATATGTATATATATATATTATCCTTCATTTTTCTTGTTTCAATTTTTGTATTCACAAAAATTATCTACTCAGTTTTCCAGTGGGCGAGTATGGTCCTATATCTAAGTATTGCGATACATAGTGGCATGGTGACATCTCAGACCCTGGCATTATTATATAAATTTACCCTATCCATCCACTTACAAAAATGACATGCACTTCTTAAACTATATTACTGTGCACTGTATAATATTAACCAAAAGTTTTGTCATATAATTAATATATTTATATATAGTCATATAAATAATATTTGTAGTTTATTGTCATTTGTAGATGTACTATAAGCTTAATGGGTAGTTGTTGGTGCCCATTCCTACCAAAGGCATATTTGTGTTGAGGTTAGGGGGGGGGGCGAAACTAATTTTTCTTGAATACAAACTTTTTTTTTTTTGAGTAAAAAGACAATCTACAATCTATACAACAAATATGCACATTAATTAGATGAGATAAACGAATACAAAACAAACAACAATGAATATTATGATTTTGGGGAATTACCCAGTTTTAACACCCAGCACGTGATAATTTATTTACTGTCGATTAATATGGGTTTTTTTTTCAGGACAAAAGGTCCTTGCACCATTTTCTTTTTAACCTATGTTTAGGGTTATCGGGTAGAGTTTTTGTTGATAGTTTAATAACCAAAGAGTTTGTATGTGACTGGAGTTTATTGTGGAATCTAGGATAGTATATTTTGGCAATTTGATTTAAAGTTTGTACTTTAAGATACCGTATGTCCATAGTGGTTTAAGTAGAGACTTATAAATTAATAATTTGTTATTTATGTTCATTTTAGATCGCAGGAGAGACCTTAATAAATGAAGACGGGCGTTTAGGGCTTTACGTTTGTTTTTAATATGAGAATTCCAAGTTAGTTTACTATCTAATATAAGGCCTAAGTATTTTACCTCGGAGCAAACAGGGATTGAAATATTGTTCATTGTAACTTGTGGGCATGTTTCTCTTTTTAGCGTAAATGTAATAAATGAGGACTTAGATTCATTTATTTTGATTTTCCATCGCTTTGTCCATTGATGGATCATATTAAGGTGTCTTTGAATCATTTTGGAAGCTGTAGCAGGATTTTCATGAGAAACCATGATTATTATTATTATTATTATTAGTATCATCAGCGTAGGTACCGAGTTCGGTAATTGATGTTTTAGGTATGTCATGAGTAAATACGTTGTATAGGAAGGGAGCGATGTCACTGCCTTGGGGAACTCCGGCTAAAATATTAAAATAGTTTGAGTAGCTCAAATTCTGACATACAACGAAGGTTCAGTCGCTCAGGTAGGACTTAATTAGTAGAAAGTAAGGCGCCGGAAGAAATTTTTTTAGTTTAAACAGGAGACCATCGTGCCAGACCCTGTCAAACGCTTGAGATACGTCCAGAAAGGTGACTGCACAAAATTGTTTTTTTTTCTAAAGACGAGGAAATGGTATTAACTACGCGATGCAATTGGTGAATGGTGGAATGATTTGGCTTGAAGCCAAATTGCGTATCTGGAATAATTTTTGCTTCGGTAGCCAAAGGAAGAAGTCTTTTTAGTAGGATCTATTCGAACACTTTGGATAAAGTTGGAAGAAGGCTGATAGGGCGGTAAGAGGTTGCTGATTCTGGAGGTTAGGGTTAAGTATTATTTTAGAGAATTTCCAGGTTAGTGGATAGTATAATAGGCGGAACATTGCATTATAAATGTAAGATAATAGGATAATTACTTTTTTTGGTAAGTTTTTGGCAGTTAGATTTAAAATCTGATCATAACCCGGAGCTTTTTTTTTATGGAGTTTTTTTTATTATAAAGTCGATTTCACCGGGACTAGTAGGTTTGGCTGGAAGAGAAACTGGTAAAGCAGCGTTCAATGATTGATTATTAGATTTTAGTTGTTATTTAAAATTATATCATGGGGTGTAAAGATTTTTTATAAGTATTCGCCGAATAAATTTGCTTTATATAAATTAGAAACAGCCCACGAGTTGTCTTCATTGCGCAAAGGAGTTGATTGAGTTTTTAAAATTTTTTTTGTTGTCCTCCAGAATGAGGAGTTTTGCGATGTTAGATTTTGGATATATTTATTATAGGTGGAGGAGCTGTGTTGAAGAAGTGCTTTACTCAATTTGTTTTTTAGTTGATTATAAATAAGTTTATCGGGCGGGTACTTGTGACTTTGCCAGCGAGATCTTGCTTTACGTTTTTCGCGAATGAGGTATTTTATGATTCGGGAGAGGGAAATTGGTAGTGTGTGTTGAGCTGGGAGTTGTTACTAATTGTAAGCATTCATGTATATCAGTTGTGAGCTTAAGGATTGTAGCATCAATGTCTTCGTTTGATTTTAAAGAGGGATTGAGCTGAGTGCGGGTTTCAATGGTTGTTTGGAAAATGGGCCAATCGATTTTTCCAGGTATTTGGGGATTTTTTACAAGATTATTTGAAGGAGGCGATTTGAATTCGAGAATGAAAAAATGTGGAACGCTTCACGATTGTGCGTGTCATCCTTGCGCAGGGGCCATGCTAATCTTCTCTGCAATACAAACTTAAAAATAATTTACAGTTCATTACAGGGGCTTACCCAAGGATGATTTGGGTCCGAACCCCCATTTGAAATTTCTACATACTCAATGGTTTAATAATAAATAATATATTGTGTATTTTAATTTCTCATTATCTTCAAAGTTTATAGATTATATAATATACCTATAATGTATAAATCATTTAATTTATACTGCTTTTTTAATTTTATTTATTATTGTTAATTAAATAATGTATTTTTTTATAACATTTTACTAACAAATAAAAATTGATTTCAAATTATAGTACCTACCTACTATAGTAAACCTTTGTGAAGAATATGTGTGATGTGTGTATAACAATTGTGACTATTACTATAGTTATTAACAGTAATTTGTTGGTATTGAATTAAACTATAATTATAATTAGAAAACAGATAAAATAAAAATTTTGGACCCCCCTCCTAAACAATTCCTGAGTACGCCTCTGGTTCATTACCTACAGCTCATATTCCTGTTGTTCATTCAAGTGAATATATAAAAATACCAGTACTAAATTGAATTAAATATTTATTTAATAAATATATTTAAAACCTACTGCATATAAAATAAGTATTAATAATAAAAACACAAATAGTTCTTATATTAAAATTATACCTTCAGTCTGAGTCCTGTGTAAAAAAAACAACAAATTATCTTAGTAGTAATAGTATCTATTAATTATTTTTTAAAAACTTTAAAAAATATTTAAGTAGAAAACATAAGGTTGGTAAGTAGTCAAATAACAAGTTCCAAATTTCTTTTTTTCATATTGGCGAATTTGTTGATTGTCAATGGATACAATAATATTTTTAAGCACATGCAACAAAGCCAAACCTATTAGTCTATGCTGGCCTATTCTCGATCTTAACCATGTTTTCAATTTACAAAAATCTATTTTTGGCTAATATTTGCAAGTTAAAGAATATTGTTAAACAAATATTGTTAATTATTATGATTATTATTTGGGTTAGGGGCTTCTAGCTCTATGAAATACATCAATGCATGCATTTGTGCACAAAAAAATGACTAAATACCTATGCACAACAAAAAGTACCAGATATTATGTTGTAAAAAAAAATTAGACGAGTAAAATTATTAAGGACTAACATAGCTCTAATAAATACAAAAATATACAGTACGCATAAATGTACCAAAAAATGATGAACTAGTAAATATGTGGCAAAAAAAGTGTTACTTTAAATTAGTTTATATTACCTGATTAATACCTCAGTTATGGTTGTTTATGTTTATAACCGTAACTATATCTGTGGAAGATAATACCATTATTCGTTCCACAACGAAAAATATTATGATAGGTATATGAAAATAAACAAAAATTGGTACCCGTGATCAAATTGATATATTGAATTTATCATATTATAATCATAGACTAGTAATTTATGTTCTTAATTATTTATACATTACATTTTTTAAATAAATCAATGTTTTATATTAAAAAAAATTACGAGCCATGGGGGATGAATGCCCCCTTCGCCCCTCCTGCAAATACGCTATTTAATCCCTACCATACATTTCTTGGGCTATCATAATTGTATTAAGCAATACCCACCACCATGCCACTGGTGATGTGCTTTTTAATGAATAAATGGATTAACGCTTAATTTAAATGTTTGTCATGAAATATTTAAAATTTTACTGTTTTAATAATTTAATAAAAATACTAAAATTCTAAGAGCACTAAGAATTGTTGCTCTTGTTACGTTGGATCTAAATTTCAAAATTTTCAAATTGTATAAGGTTTAAGGTTATTTTAGTTTTTTTTTTTTTTTTGGTTGGATATAGGGTGATGCTAGAAAATTTGATAATGCTAATAGTAACCTCTATCATATACTTTTAAAATTTTTTTTTTTTTAAAGCCAGTGGGTGACATATCATCCCCTCGTGGTATATATATATATATTGTATATATTAAATTTATCAATATAGAGACATCGGCGACTGTGTTAGCTTGTGGTGATTGGGGACGTCTGACTAGAAGAGAGTTATGAAGCCATATGCTAATAATAATATAACTGGAAGAGAGCAAATATTTCTGTTTTTCATGCAACGCCGCGCCGTGAAGGATTGAAAAATAAATAATTGTAAAAAAATAATTACTCAATTACAGAATTGAAATTAAGCTTAAAGCATGTTCCGCGATGTACTCGATCATTTTTTAAAAAATTATCCAATGATTAGTTTCAAAAAACATGTGTCACAAAGATTTTACTTTTACATTCATATTTTATAGATAGATTATGTAATTCAATGATTGTTAATTTTATAAGATACTTAATAAAAAAATAAATACATTTTAATCAGAATATTCATAATAGTAAACTCATCCGTGAACCTTTACGGCAACTGAACACTACACAGTATGCATAAAAACAGATGATTTATATATATTGCGCCTTGATCTGGTTCTGTTGATGATAACTAGGGCTGGGATTTTAATGTCCTAAAGAACCTTAAAAAATGCTCTTAAAGTATGTAAAAATGACAAAAAAAAATTGCCTTGAAAATAACTTGAAAAAAATTAATTCCCACGGCGGTTACAACAAAAAAAAAAAAAACTCCTACTAAACGATATCAATGGACGTCGATTCTAAATATTCTCATTATATCACGTATACTATCATATACGCCACCACATATTAGGTATGTAGGTGTTTTGACGTAAACTATTTTTCTATAATAGAATATGAATCACGAGTACCTTATGTATAATTTGTTATGTTTATATAAAAAACCTGTTGGTGCGTAAAAATCTTAAAATAAATTGTCAAATTTAGAATTTAAAATCTCAAAAATACTCTAAAAAAATTAAGAAAATTATCAAAAAATGCTAAATTAAATATCTAATATTCATTCAATAGTACCTGAAACGAATTTATAATAACTTGTGTAAAGAGCATTGCACAGCAAGCTGTGGGAGAAAATGCTAAGTACATCGAAATCCCAGCCCTAACTAATTAAATAATGCATTGTACACATCTGATTTTTTTTATTTTCTTATTTTTGCCTGAATTATGTATGTGAGAAAAATGATATTTTCATTTTAAATTGTAAATTTTATTTCAATAATTTATTCTTATATAAATAACATATATTTGAGTTTAGTGAGAAAGTTTGTTCAATCTAGAAACCATAAATTATTGTGAAATTCTTAATATATCTTATTTTATTGAAGCTATTTAAGTATAGTATCAAATTGCTTTTCTTTGTATATATAAAATAATCATTATTTCATATTTGTAATCAGTGGAGTAACCAGACCTTATTTTGGGAGGTTTAATAGTTGAAAAAATTTAATTCTGGAAGGTGTTTGGTGGAGAAAATAGGGTAAGGTTAAGTTAACTTCATATTTTGGCGGGGTTCATAATTTTAAAATCTTCTCCCGTAGTTGCGTCATTGTTAATAATTACATTATTGGATGTTCAATGTTTTTAATTGCTATATTAATTACTTAGAATATATACAAATAATTTTCACAAAAAAAAAAAAAATCTTGTGTATACATTCGTCATATTCAATGATGACATAGTACAGAGAAATAAAGTATTTAAGGTAAAATATTGGTATACTTATTATTTACAGACTAAAATATATTTTTTTGTTTGACAAGAGGATAGCCTCTGGATAGGTTTGAGTGACCATGAAAAACCGGCTGAATTCATTGATCGTTATTGAACTTAATTAGTATTTTTACTGATTCAAATAGTTCTTTTACCTACAAATTTATGATTGTCGATTGGTATGTTTTACTGTGTATATATGAATCATAAATGTGGGTCATATATTATTATAACCTTATATTGAAAAGATTCAAATTTAATTTGTCATTAATTATGTTAATATAAAATTACGAATGACAATTTTAATGGTACTGAATAAGCTAAATTTATTATTTCTATCTGTTGTAACAAGGTTAAGAGCAAATGAAAAAATTATTTATTTTAAGTGGTAAAACAATATAAGCTTGGAAACATATAAACAAATGTATAGTATTTTAGATCCCTTATTGGAAAGTCAAGATACCATTGTAAATTATGTCATTATCTTAAGGATTTTACGAGTTTACAAATGATTTAAATATTTACCTTAAAGGTTCTTATAATATTTTAGTCTATTATAGTCCAACCATTATGAGCATAATATTATAGAATTTAGGGTTATTTTATAAGATTATGCTATAAATATTTTCTATGTTCGTATATTCTTAGAAATTTAATTTTGTTGTAAATTAATTATGGTTAACGCAAAAATATGCATTAATGTAAATTTATATTTAAATGATTCAATTAGTTATAATAAATATTACTATGTAATTTTGATAACTGAATTATGATTTTTGACCTCTGCAATATATATTTAAACTATTAATTTGTAATGTATAAAATGTAAATTATATATATATATATATATATATATTAGTATAATTTATTCAAAGCTAATTAAATCAATATAAAACTTATTGTTTATTATTGTTACATAAATTATTTAAATTAATTACAAATTAAAACAAGTTTTCATTTTTTATTGTACATTTTTTTCAATATATCCCTATATCATACAAATTTTGATAAATTTAATCCGATGTGTAATACGTATAAAGGGTGTACCTAAGGGGGTCGGGTTCGGACCCCCCCCTTAATTGAAATGTCTACATACTAAATGGTTTAATAGTAAATAGCATAATAATAGTATATAGTGTATTTTAATTTCCCAATATCTTCAATATATAAAGTTTATAGATATACCTATAATGTATAAACCATACTATAGTATACTAACAGTGATTTGTTATCATTGAGTTTAACTATAATTATAATTACAGAACAGATAAAATAAAAATTTTGGACCTCCACCCCCATAAATAATTCCTGGGTATGCTCCTGATACGTATATTCTAATTAGGAACTTATTTATTAATATCGTTACTGCGTTATATAGTTCAGGTAATTGCATGTCTTATTTGTTGACAAATAATATTAAACTATTAATATTTAATCAGTTATAGTTTATTATAAAATTATCCAACTAGAGCATAACATCACAGGTTGTACATATGAAATATTCATTTAATCTGTTATAATATACTGATCATTATTTTATAAATTTATTTTATGATGGTTCATCTTATGAGTATGTTTTTTAGTTAACCTATATATGCACATAATATAAATTATATATGTGTTTGTTATTATGTAAATAACTGCAGTGTACAATAACTTTATTTTTATTCTAAAGGTATTTTTGTACACTTAAATTATTGCACGTTGCAAAAAAAAAAAAAAAGTAAAAATCAAGTGGAGGGGCCACAATATATGCAATGTAAATGGTCGGGGTAATAAAACCGTGTTGTATCTATGTAACCGAGGCTGATGGTCGATGGCCACAAACTAGTAGGTATAACCCCGTGTGACTGTCGTTTGTGACATCAACAATGTTTACAAGACCTCGTGTGTTACAATCTGGTATTGAATGATCCACAGTATCAGATCGGATCTTCTAGTATACACATGATTGGATTTTCGAAAGGATTAACTTACAACTTATCAAGTAAGTCTTTATTAAAAACCATTTAGAGTACGATGTTTTTGATTGTTTAAGTTGCAATTTACAATTTATAAACATATATTGTATCATGTAATATATATATATATATATATATATATATATATATATTATATATTATATAATATAATGTAATAACAGATAATGAAGTGCGTTCGTATTTATGTTTAAAAATGTATACTAAAATTTGAAAAATGATAAACCATGAATACATGAAAAATGTATAATCACGGTAGTTCATTAAATATAGTCGAGTTTATCTATACTACTAAACGTGTATTTATATTTAACGTGTTAAATGTATAATAGAATAAGGGTTGTATGAATAAATATTTATTCAGTATCTACATTTTATAGTAGATATATAAGGTAAATTTTTAATTATTTTTTTAGGTCTTTTCGATACGGTAAAATGTATAGATGGTATTCCAATACAATTATTGCATACATGTCAATTTATATTAGGCGTTTTTTTAAAATTATGTTCAAATAATATTGTTGAATCAGAGGATTTTCAAAGTATATTGTAGTACTGTAATGGCTTTTGATTTTTATATTAAACTGTCAATATATGCGTACACGAGTGATAAATTAATATATTTTAAAATTAATTAAATTAATTTAAAAAAAAAAAAAAAAATTTATAACAGATAACTTAATTTTGTAAACCTCGTGAACTGTATTTATATTCTCTGGAGGTATTTAAAACGAATTTAAGTGTCATATTTAATAAGTCGTTCTTAAAAGAAAATATCTTTAAATTTCGTAACAATTGATAGTGTGGCCCAGTTTTATTAATAACCATATAAGCTGTCCGTAAATGTGCACGCAACACGTCCTTCGTAATTTTTTCCTTCTTAACTCATAGTATACGATTTTCTACTATGTGCAAGTGTGATATTTTATAGGTAATTGACCTATCTGCAGTGCACTCTGTTATTTAATATGTAGTCGTGTGGCTGTTATATTATTTAGATTGCAATAAGTATTCAATTTGAAAACATATAGCAAATATAATAAAATAAAAATATAACTTCGTACTATCATCGATCTGTTCTTTCAATGTTGTAGTAATATTATCGATTTGAGAATGTTATACGTGTATAAAAATAATACACACGTGTGCAATAAAATACCATTTTAAGAACTAGAAAGTTATTTCCATAAAACACATTATCATGAATACTTTTTCCAAAACATTTTATTTCTTAAAATATATTTAATATAAAAGGAATCGACGAAAATATTTTAACTAAATATTTTTACTCGCAACGTGAAGGCTAGAAAAAGTCGAACTATTCATACATGTAGGTACTTTAATGGAAATAAATTTACAATAATATGAACCATTATAATTTGAGAAGTACTGAGGGAAGAATTATAAATGTACATTTTTTTTTACTATTGTCGAAAGTAGTAAATTTTAAAAAAAATCATACATATTCACTATTTTGTTATTTTACTTCTAACCATTATTCAATAAAACTAAATATAGGTATTAAATAAGAACGAATTTCTAATATTATATCAGATTAAGTATTATAAAAACCGAATGTAGCATAACAATACCAAAAACAATATATGTTATAATTATTATTGTTCTTAATATTCATAGATACTTAGTATAGACTATATTCTTATTTAAGTATTAATTTATAAATTATATATCATCTTATTTTTAAGCGTTTTTGCATACCTAATATTTCGAACGAATGATCTAAGAACAATATTTTAATTATAAAATCTAAAGCATATCGATTTTTTAGGTATACATTATTATTGTATTTTTAAATGGTTTAGAAATAAACACGCATAAAATGAACGTTTTTTATTAGTTCATTTCGTTTTTTGTAATAAATTAAAAGTTAAAATGTACTCAAAATAATAAAATATATCTAGTATTTTATAAAAATACTTTGTTGTTAGTAAAGAAATATGTATGGCATGTTAATTCAACGCTAAAAATAAAGTAGTTTAGTTTGTTTCATTAATGAATGGTAGTATAAATAACAGGCTTTAGCCACCAGTTCTTATTACAGTTCTATTGAAACATTTAAAATATCTTATATAATTTTGTAGGTTATTTGTACTGCTTAGTAAGAATCAGTGTTCGTAGATCCTTAGTCTGGATAGGTTTAGATTCACGGGAGTTAGGTAACATGTTGACATTTTGGTCTAATTAAGATTGCGTAAGTTTTTTTTATTACACTTTTTTATCATCGATAGATTCTTCTGGTATTTATTCTTATATTCATCATATTTAATACCTAGTAACAAAGATATTGTAAATTTGAATATTATTTAAGGTAAGTTGCCAATAGTATTGATAAAATAACTTAAGATAGGTATTGAAATGAGGTCTGTAAAAAAAGAAATTAACTGACCACTAAATGAAGACATTATTCTACGCTATGAATTTATAATTTATTTTTAATCAACGTAGCATATGCAATTTCCAATAGCTTTTTAAAATTATTTATTGTTTAAATTGATACATGATATTTATTATACTATCCATTTAGTGGGTAGATGCGTTACAATCAATAATTAATTGAACTGTTGACATTATTACATAATATAAATGCTTATTTCAATCAGTTTGAAAGTTTAATATTTAAAACTTATTAAATACTAAATTGGAAATGATTGTATACAAATATATATGATATAAATGCACTTATTTAAAATGAAAAAATTTAATATTGGTTTAATAAAATCGATTTATATTCGTGAAACATTATTTTTAATAATATGTACTTTGTGTGATGAATACATACATAGGCGTAAGAGGGTTTTTAGCATTCCTGAGTTCAAATTTAGCATGTTAAATGTTTAAATGTTTTTTTTCAAATCTATATAATCTACAATAATTACAGTGAAATACGATTTAATTTTATTATCAACAATTTCAGCACCCCCAATATTTGAGCCCTAGTTGTACCCGTGAATACATATACCATTTATTAGTTATTAATTGAATATTAAGTATACTACATTTTATGGAATTAAATTTGAATAATTTTTATTTATGAAATTATTATAAGTTTATAGTCCGTGTGTACGATAAACTCAAACACATCTCTCGAGTACGCGTTTATTAGTTTTATACTATTTATACTTCCGCGTAGTTATACGAGGACATATTTTTACGTTTACTTATAAAAGTAATGACATCCTCCGAAATGTTTTTAATTTTATCTAATATTGTGCAGATTTTGATCAAAGTGTATGTCACGGTCATCTTTTAAACTGCAATCGGTGAGCACTTTTTTTATTTTTTATTATTCATCGTAAGGTCGACCGGTTGACTCTTGCATCACAGTACATTATTTCAGCCCTTCATCACATTTGGATCCTCACGGCAGGTAAATCTAGGAAACCGGTAAACATAAACATAATACAATGTGTTCGTACATACTTATACACACGTAGAAGATTAAACGGTTATGATTATGCTAACAAAACTCAAGTATTTTGACGAGCTGATGAAGATGCATACATGTTTATCGGTTCGTCAACAGTGCACTGTCAGCTAAAATAATAAATCATGCAAGACGTCGTTTGAATAAATCTGTCGGTTGTGATAGGTGTGGGTAAAGACGACCATCGTCCATGGAAATAATTTAAATAAATTCGTGATCAGTGGCATGACGAGAATTTTTTTATTAGACCTAAAACATGACTATACACTTTAAGGATTTGCAGGTTTTAAACAATGATTAAACAGTAAAATATTTACTCACATTTTATAGATAATAATATGAGGTAAACATTTGTTAATTTTTATTCGAGATTTGATCTTCGACTTCAGGCAATTTCCTACATCTTCGTATACGTCACTGTTCGTGATTAGTTATTGATCGACGGGACGCCGAGTCACGTATTCTAATTATAAGGCTTAGTAAATAATAAGGGTTAAGCTCTTACAGCGTAGATAGATTATCAGTGATGTGAGGATGGACACTCGGTGACCCTGAGAATTTAGTAGTTCCTTTCCCTACAAATTAATTTTGTACCTATTTTTACACTATGTTTTATCGTAGTGTTATAATATTGTAAAAAGTAGAAAACATTTTGTTTTGTGTACAATTGAAAATCAGCCGGCTAACATTATTCAACATATCGATATTTGTAACATTAATAAAATTAGAATTGGGTCATCGACAAACGCTTTACGTGTAGGTAATAAAGCGAATATTTTTTAACTTAACCTGTATATTAGTTGTAACATAGGTAATATGTATTATATTATATTTCAGTACTAATGGTTCTGTATACTATAATAATTATTAATACACGTTTTTTATTCTAATGTAAGTAAATATGTATATATTTCATTATTTAATGACCATCTTTGGTTGTATTTGTTTTTTTTATGAAGAAATACCGAGTTAAGGAGAAATAATGTTTAAATAATACGATGTATTTATTTTTAAATAAATGTAATATGTTTGGTCTCTTGTTGGAATTTTCGTTTAATAAATCTATAAAATGTTAAATGTTTTCTAAGAATTGTAACTTTTAGAGGCATTTATATTTTTACACACATTTATATTTGTAATTTACTTTTATACAAAATTTATGTAATTAAGATCTACAACTAATAAATTAATTAATTAATTAATTTTATCTACAACTGATGTTACCGTATAAATCAATTCATCTAATAAGTATCTATTATAAAAAAATATTTCAATAGAGAAACACAGTTTTTAAATAAATGTAAATAAAATTAATAAAATAAATTTAAATAAATAAATAAACATTGGTTTTATTACAATGCATTTACGAGTCATTAATAATATAATAATAAATTTTATGTGGCAATTATTGGTATACCAACTATTATAATTTATGAACTATATAAATACCAGATTATTATTTTAATTTATCGCTCATCACTATTCTTTAATAAAATATCTGCGTTTAATTTATTTATATCTATTACATCTCTATTATTTGGTTCAAATACCTGAGGGGTTCATAATATTATATGTATTCTCTCCGGGAACACTTTTGCTTTCTGTATGTATTCTCCTTCGGTCAAGGTTGATGATGGATTCAAGGCTCAGATTTCACTTTTAAATGAACTTTATAATTTATTCGAATACTTGCACATGTAATTAAATATTTAATTTTATTATTACATTCTTCTAAATACACAAATATGTATATAAACATAAGAAATATGTACTAAAGCAATACAAATATTATAATATAGTTTAATTCATAACATTTTTTTAAACACGCGGCGCGTGCACACAAACGAGAACATTATATATTATAATATTTAAATGAACCTTGTTGAGTGCTTTACTCTGTTTTTGGAGGTTTTGTTTGATGGTTATGTTATTTACGATTGATTACAAATTATTTCATGAGTTCGGATGTTTTTCAAAACTAGTAAGAAAAAATCTTGACTATTGGCCATCAATTAAGGTTAAAAACATTAATATGTTGTAGTTTTGTATGATGATGACATGAATAGTTATACTTTATTCAAATAGAACTCATTTGGATTGTTCTTAATTGTACTTAAAAGACCTTCAAGGAAGATATTTGCACGGATCATAAATACAATTTTAAGATAGAAATTTACATAATTCTAGTAGAATGACTACATTTATCTTTCTAAACTATTATATTTTTATTCGTGTACAAGCAAAAACATAAGATCCTTGCAAGTATATACACGTAATTATTTTATTTCTTCTGTCTCAATAAGTGTTTTACAATATTTATTTTAAAAATATTATGAAAATTCTGTACGTTAACTATTTAATTAAAAAAATAAATAAACATAGAAGGATAGTTCGTACAAAACACATATTTTTGTATTTAAATCTCTTATAATCAACATGGTATATATGAGTTAAAAGAGTTTTAAATATTTTACGAAATAAATAAATAAACGGTAATATTTGTGATAAAAAAGTGGAAGTATTATCATAATGTAAAATTATGGTAATTAAAAAGACTTGATCAAATATTTTAATTAACATATGTGTCGCTTTAAAACAAATTCCTTGATTATAGGCGTCATAGTATATTTTTAGTATAAGTAGTATAAGTATTAAAAATAGGTAAACCGCAGTAATTATAAAAAAATCCTAACCCCATTATATAGTTACATATATGGGTAGAAGTTTTGTCTTACATATATTTTACATACCTATAAAATATAAATGCATCGAAAAGTGTTGACCCGGAGCAACAATATCGTAGGTTGTTCATTATTTTTATTTTGTACTTTCCCTTTAATTCCATTGCTTTATGTTACACAACATACATATAGGTTACCTTAAACTTGGCATCGTGTTTATAACATTTCTTACTGAACTACTATAAAACTTTTATGTTTTTTTTTTTTAAATGGTTAGACAATTGTCTATTAAATGTTATTATTATTATTTATTTTTTACTTTTAAAATGCATTTTCAACAAAATATATTATGCACTCATCAAAAACGGAGTATGTACGCGCGTTTATAAAATGAAATTATATGATATAAGTATTTTAAGAAAGAAAAAAATACTGCTGTTAGTAATTACATTTTATTAGCAGTGGGATTAAATTTAAAATGTTCATCGATACACAATCACAGCACGGTGAAAGTAGGACATTGATTTGGTAATAATATATGGTCAATGCGGAATAACATATACGAGACAATTTTTTATTCACTTCAATACATAACAAACTAGTTGTATCAGTGGATGGGAAAAACGTAAAATTATTTCAATTAGATAACGAAAAATTAGTTTTTTTCTTGGAAGTTTCATGTTTAAAATTGAGAGGTGTTTTAAAATTTAATTTGTTAAGTTTAATACATTTGATACCTAAACAAATAACAATATATTAACATATAGAGCTGGCGAAATACTAAGCAGTTAACATTCCCTTTGATTTCGATGTAGAATAATAAGTTATGATATAATACAATATTACCTATACCACTACGTATGTATAGATTACGTAATAATAGTTATGAAAATAAATTTCGTGCATTTTTTAAAGTTTATATTTGACAGTTTTGTTTCAATAAACATTTAATGTGGTTTACAATTATTAAAATTACAATTAATCATTATTGAAAAAAATGTAAAAAAAAAATGTTTTAAACTATATATATAGACAATAATATTAATATAATATAAATATTAAATTATTAGAATAATGTTTGATTTCAACAATAATTCATTTTAATTCTTACAGCGAAAAATATTATTTAAAATGTATGAACCAGATGTTACATTATGAAATATTATAAATATATCATTATTTATTCAAGATATATATGTACATATTTTTCATAAAAATTCGTACCTACTACACGTTTTTTAATGTACAACGATATGATACAAAACCTCCCTCTACGCCACTTCCATATTATTATAATTTTTAGTTCAATATCATTAATCATTTTTAGTAATAGTTCTTTTTTATTAATCAAATTACACATTATAATTAGGTTACCACCAATATTTTATTATTTTTAAACTGAAAATATACTTATGTCTGGTATAAATCTGAAAACTTTTTACAAATTATTTATTTTAATGTAGGATATATAATTTAAAATGTAATAGATTTATTTAAGTCCTCATCAACTGTCTTGCTTAAACTGGTTTCATAGTAGTTTTATTTATTAGTATTTAGTAGGTACACACTTCTCGAATCCGTAGTGTATATTTCCAATTTACTATATACTATACAACTATATACTTTGTGTCGGGGATCACTAAAAAACAGGGGCTGGTATAAGGGTTCGTTCATGCGTGCATAAAGTAAATGTTAAAAAACAATTGCACTAGATTTTTCAACTATGTACAAAATATATCTAATTTTTACTGTTAGATATAGGAAATTTAAACATCAATAGACTTAAATATTGTTACTCAATTTTCAATAGATTTCTTTCCTTATGTGTCCTGATGGTTAAATTATCAACGAAGGTTTTATCTTATATCATACCGGATATGTAGTTTTCAATGTCAAAATTCCATTGTTTTTATTAAGTCTTAATAATATAATACGTCTGTATAATTAATTACATTAAACTATAGTTAGTTGGAAATGCAATTGATATTTACATATATTTGGTATGTCATAATATAATCAACAATAATTGCATAACATATAAATAAAATCAGTTATAATTTGGTAATAAACGGTATGAAAATTTGACGTATACTTTATTTATTAAAAAACTTATTAAAATAAATATAAATGGATCTTAAAATGTTGTACATTTTCA